GGAGAAATCAGATGCTTACCAACATGGATGTTTCTGAAGGTAGTATGTTTCTTATTTCAAAGTTAGGGAAGCAAAATGGACAATTACCTGTTGAGAATATTATCGAAAGAAGTATATTAGTTGGAATTCTTTGCTTATAAATAACAAAATCTGTCCTTGGCCAACTTTTTTTTTTTTGTCCTGCAAAATCATTTTATTTTCTACTGCACAAACATCTTTCTCAGGTAATGTTACTAGAACAACCTGTTTATGAGGTTTTTATAATTTGGGATAAATATAGTTTTAAAAAAACTTCTATTATATGGAGTTGTGATATAAAAATGATTTATAGGCTATATTTTTCAGAAAGCATTTAGCTAGACTGTAATCCTGCTGAGAAAACTTTCCTGTTTAAGTCTATGATATAGAATGAAATGATATGATTAAAAAGTCTTCTGATCAAGAAGCTTGCGATCACCAAAGGAATGTTAGTCTCCACAGAGAGCCACCAGGATTTTTTCATAATCTCCCTTGGTTTCATCTAGGATGGCTTGGCAGAGAGAGAGACCATACAATTTCTGGTAGCATGCTTTGATGTCATTCATGTAGATTTCAGAGCAGGAAACCATAATTCTGAGGTCCAGAACCCTTCATGGCCTGATGAAGCTTCTTGGCGAAGAACATCGGTTTGCTTGTGGTACACTTCACGGTAGTCGTGAGGCATTTGTCAATGTCACCTTTCATCTCCAGGTCCAGAACTTTGTTCATGTCATGCTTACTGTACTTGCTGTACTTCTGAAACACTTGGCGAAGATGGGGATAGGTTCTGGTGGTAAGGATGGTAATGAACACATTCACATCTGTCCCTTTTCTCCTTTCTTCTGCTTCATATAAAGCCCTAGCATCCGTATCAGCCAAGTCGTCATTCAAGCCAAAATCCTCAGATAGGTCACCCTTAGCCAGAGAAAGCAGAGCGTTCCAATAATCTCCAGATGTGTCCGAGGTGATATCTTTAGCCAGATCTCTCTTTAGTTCTTCTCTATAGACTCTGTTAATTTCTCTGATTTCTTTGTTAGTTCTCAATACCAAAATTTCATCCAGAGTGTCTTCATCAGTTCCAAGGCCCTTCGTGGCAGCACGAAGTTCACCAGCATCGAACTGGGCTGGAGTTTTTAATAGAGCCAAAACAACTTCCTCGAGGTGACCAGAAGGGGCTTTCTTCAGAGCTTCATCCAGGGGCTTTCCTTTTTCCTGGAGATATGCTGCTTTGATCTGCCAAGGACTGTGCATTGTTCCTCTTAGTTAGAATGTCAATGATGGTTGCTTCATCCACACCTTTAACTGTTACCACATTATGCAAAGCAGCAACATCCGAGGATGGATTGAAGCTAGGATAGGGGCTCACTGCTGACCCAGGACTGCCTTTGGATCCCTTCACAGCTTCAATGTGTTCCTGCTCTTCATTTTCACTAAATCAGGCCTGTTTGAGGAATTGTCAAAGAAGTATCTTTTTTCCCCACCTTCTTCCAAAGCACTAAAGAGAGATTCTCCTCTGAACGTTTCCCACTCTGTCCTTGGCCAACTTGAACAAAAACTGGAAGAACACTGAGTAAGCTAGAAAGTCTGAAATTGAGTCCAGGCACGAGGAGAAGAATCATGGCAGTTTCAACCCTCAAACCATCTCTTCAAGGTGACGTGCCTGGGATGGGTGAACCCCCATGTGTTTGCAGTCTATATTTTACCCCACTCAAGATTCAAAATCCCAGGAGCAGGAGTTTTGACTGACCAAAGCTGATTCCATGAGCCCTGGCTCTAGCTGGGTAGGTGGAGGTAGGCCCTGGCAGAGCCTGTGAAGGCCTCTGAGGACCCCTCCAGTGCCCTCATGGGGGAGCAGGACTTTTGACTTCACAGTTCCCTTAAACCCAAATGCAGTAGAGGGCAGGTAAACTCCCCCAAGCACAAGAATCAGGGCCTGTCAGGAAAGGAGGATGGATTCTGGGCAGCCAAAAGAATAACTCTAGGATAAATGTAGAACTAAATCAGTAGATCCTGGATTCACTTTGGAATTTTCTAGACTTTGAAAAAAAAATTTTAACTAAAGTTCATTAAAGCAAAATGACTGCTTATCTACCATCACCATTGTTTCATAGAAGAAAGGTCATTAGCACAAAAAAGGAGAAAAGGTAATCTCAGAATAAAAGAAAGGCCTTAAAGTGAATAAGCGTACTCTATATCAGATTTATTGCAATATTTTTTTTCCTTGTTGCCCGCATTTCACTGGAGACCAAACACAGATCGGCCCCCAGTTTGGCGGTAGGGTTCCTTATTAGCCTCAACTTTCTGTGAACCCAGTGGGATCTTGCTGTTAAATAGTAGTTCTCCACTGCAGGCGAGTTTGCCTGCTAGGAGACTTGGCCACACCTAGAGACAATTCAGGTCGTCACAACTGGGGGTGAAGGAGGAGACAGAGTCCTACTAGCATCTAGAGACCAGGGATGCTGCTCAACATCCTACTATGCACAGGACAGCTCCTGCCACAAAGAATTATCTGGCCCAACATGTCAAAGTGATGAGGTTTAAGAGACGGTGCTATAGATAGAAAAAAAAAATCTCATGAAGCAATTAAAATGGAAAGTACTAGAGAATAGTGCACTCAGGTGTTGTCACAGCCCTTATTCATGGGGCAGACTTTTTTAGTTAAATTATATCTGCTTCTTTAAAGTGTATTGTTTCTTTAAATACAAAAGTAGTACATACTCATTATTGCATTGTTGGAAAAAGGCAGAGGAATAATAAGCAAGGAAAACAAGTCACTCTTGGCCCCAGCCCGTTCTCTTTCCTGAGATACTTCCTCTCAACTATAGCATGACCGAAGCAGACTTTTTTTTTTTTAAAGATTTTATTTATTTATTTGAGACAGAGAGAATGAGAGACAGAGAGCATGAGAGGGAGGAGGGTCAGAGGGAGAAGCAGA